GGTGTTCATAATGGACAATCCGTTGTTTGCACAAAACCGCAACAACTTCATGCCGTTATTGTTGAGGTCGTTAGGGCCATTTTTTCCAATCATGCCGTTCCACTTTTCAGCGTCCGATGTGCGCATTAAAATCGCCCATCAGTACGAGGGACTCCGTATTCCGCACTTCCTTAACGAAGGTCTCATATTCTTCCTCTAAATTGGGCGCATAGACCTGTACCAAGGTCATCGATTTAGCCTGTTGCAGCTTCAGTCAGAGGATTACCACCCTTCCGCTGACAGGCTTCCAGGCAGTGATTCTACCTATGATGTTGGGTTCTACCAGAACACTAACGCCGGCCTGAGCGCGAGTCGTGATATCGAACGCCTGAGTAGAATTGCTTGCTTCCGTCCGCTGAGGTTCAGGAGTCCAGAACCTTGGCACTTCGTTGACGAAAGTCCAACTATGTCGAGTTAATACCTTACAGCCTCATCAACTAACTCTTGTTCTTCCATGTGATTGAGGATATGTTCCAATTTCGATTGTAAGCTCCTGCTGGTGGTATCGTTATCGTGGAGCCTTTTCTGACATGCTCTAATGGCTTCGCTCTGTCTGCGTCCTTCTTTCATAGAAGGTAGCTACTCTGTGGTGACTGGTATTTTGATCGTCGTTTAGTCGATCTTCGGCAGCCGTTGTTCTGTAGTGACACCCCGGGCTGTTGAAGCTGATGAGCAGATTCTGATAGTCGACGTTTACCACCCTGCCTTAGTCCTCAATCAGTTTGCTCAACCCTTGGTGACTCGGGCGACGACCCAGCTGGCATCATTTTTAATGACGTCAGTGCCATAACGGGCAGGTAGGTAGGTTTAAGGAAACCTTCAGCAAGGTCTCCAACTTTTGTCCTTTTTCGTCTGGGCTTGTGACCGGCAGCGGCTGAGTTGCATTTTTTACCTTTTACAAAAATGGGTCGAGTTGCACTCTGTGCGAAAACAGTAAGAACTACCAGTTCCATGTTCGATTTTCTGCACGAAAGAACGGCAATTTGAACGACCGCCTAAGTCTTTCTGTCTTTCTTTTCTATGAGGCTGTAGCAGCGTTTCGCGAAGTATGCACACACCCAAAGTAGTCCAGCTTTTAACAGTTTTGTATCGCTGTTAACCAGTAGAAAATCTTTGGTAAACGCGTTGTGATCTTTATTTTTGGCTGGAACTTATCTTAGTGTGATTTCGATATTTGTTTCGCTTTTATTTAGTTTATGTCATGCACTGAACGTAATTCTTTACTTTTAATGTTTAATTCGTACATGATCAGATTTTTGGCATTATTGCACTGTTCGTCTGCTCCTATTTGCCTATGAGACTTAAAGCATTCCACGACGCAGTAATATTTGCGCACATGTACCAACGCCATATTCATATCGCATAAGTGATTTGTCTACAGCAGGTTCGCTTTCATTAACAATGATGCTTCAGAGGCTAGTACTTTGTGTATAACAGCGCATGAATGCGAGAGTGTGTCAGATAACGCGGTATAGTATGTTTACTTAGTAACATAAAGGAGTACCAACTGCTCAAGTATGGTTCGTAGTCAGCGGTTCAATACACCGTCAGTTCTGGTTTTGAAGAAATGCGTTTTGCGGCATACTCCGGGGTGCGAACAGATTTTGGTATTTATCCCGTGAAATTAATGGTTCGATTTTTTTACATTATATCTGATCCCTGGTTTTCGACATATTTGTAATTTCTGATGAACCGTTCACTTCCTTCACTTAATGCTTTAGAGCATAGCAAGTTATTTTCAGTCTGTAATTTTGTCTTAGATCAACCTTGATTGCACACATTTCAGCAAAGAATGGTTCTGTTTATGACTTATCATTATATTAGTGATCAGTGCCAGAAAATGTTGTCATTTTATTGTCCATGAATTCGGTTAAAGTTGGACATGCTATCGGAAACTTGTGTTGATCTTGTGTTTTCTTCGAAATGAGCTGCGATGGTTCTATTGTTGCTGTTTAACTTATGATCAGTGGTCTGGATCTTTAGTTAGGTGGCCCCTATCCGAATGTCATTGAGTTTGACGTAATATAGTTAGCCAAAAATGACGGCATTCAAATTAAGATCCAAGCATTCAGTGATCGGTTGTGTCTGTAATCATCACACCCTCCCCGCTCCCCTTCAGACGCATTCTTTGGATCAATCTGGTTTTGTTCGAAATGAATAATCCCAAATCAAATAAATGCCTACCATGTTTTACGTCATTAGAAATCATTGTATTGCGTTCGGTTTTATAGAATTTGACGGCATTTGGGTACGATATTTTAGGTCACTTTTGTTCGGGTATGGCCGCAAACCGGAAATTCCTTTTTCTGCTCTCGTAACTGGCGTTTTATGTTTTTGTGTAATTTTAAATTGTATTTTAATTGCCGGCGCAACTGGTTTTTTTGTTTACGTTCACTATCATAAAGCGAAATCGTTGTCAGGGATGGACAGTACTTTCGATTCAGGCCATACAAATGAAATAGACGAAATAAGAGATGATGATTACCATTATTAATTATTGTTTTACGGTATGATTGTTATTATATTGTCAGTTCAATGTTCAATTTAAAGACGATATATGGACGGTTCGCACTGCGATCGAAGGGTTTTGGCATTTGTGAAAATGTTACTTGTTAAATTGTTTAACTGCATAAATATACCTGAAAACTACCATGTTTTCTTCGCATTTTGTGAATCGGATCTTAGTGCTTTTTGGAAAGGTTCGCAGCTGATTGTGACGTGTCACATGTATGTGAACATATCTAAAAGGCAAGGTTTGGCTTTTTCTTGTTCTCCTGATCGTTGCGCACTGCAGATAGACAGAGAAGCAGTGGAGCATGTGGAGAAGATCACATGATAATGTTTACTGGTGATGGAAAATGAGAGGAAAAAATCGACCGATGAATTGGAATGGCCTTTGTGACTGAGGTGAGTCTGATGACTAAGTTCTCTGTGTTCAAATGGATCTTCATCGCGATGCTTACCTGCGGTCGTGAGTCGTGGGCCTTGACTAAAAAACATCAATCCCCGGTAGAAACGGCTGAAATGAGCTTTCTGGGACGAATTGCTGAACCACGCGTCTCGACATGACCCGGAATACAGGCATCCGTAAAAGCCTTCGTCTTCAGCCGCTGATTTTTTAGATCGAGATGTGGCAGTTGCGATGGTTTGGCCACATACTGGAGATGCTTTCAGAAAGGAAGCTTAAGCAAGTACTGCATGTCCAGCAAACCGATGGAATATCCGGAAACGACAAAGATTAACCTGAGGCAAGTGTTTGAGGGGACTCTGTTCCATACTCGGATTATCTTCTGCTGAAGTGCAAACGGTGGAATGGAATCTGGAATATTTTAGAC